CATGAAAAGTATGAACTTGAAAAGTATGAGCATGTATAGCATCAATACTTAGTTGTTGCTCCTTTTTGCCTGGATTACTGCAGCAATGAGGCATGGCATGGAGTCAATCAGTCTGTGGCACTGCTCAGGTGTTATGAGACCCCAGGTTGCTCTGATAGTGGCCTTCAGCTCTTCTGAATTGTTGGGTCTGGTGTATCACATCTTCCTCTTCACAATACCTCATAGATTTTCTATGGGGCAGAGAAAACTTCTGGGTCAGACCACTTGCCAAAAATGAAATGATGAAAATCCAAACTGAGCACTCATTATCCGTTTTTTCCATTTTTGTTTTGTGTATAAAACCAGAAATTGGATTACAGTTCGTTATCCGATTTATCATTTTGGTTTAATAAACGGAAAACGAAAAAAAAAAGTGTTTTTGTTTTTTCATTTTTTGTTTCAAACGAAAAAATTAACTGCCTGAATGTACATGGACCGAAAGCCCACATTGTTGTGTAGTTGGCGTGTTTCCTGAGCTCGGTTCTGTTTAGTTACGGCTCATTTCTTTCTGAATTTCATAGTTCCTATGCTCTTGAATGCACCGTGGCATTTCTGACACTAGTGAACGCATTGCTCTGTGTAAACAAACTGCGTGTCGATCATAGTTTCTTTCTCTCTTGACAAAGACAGAGAGTCTTGTTGCTTTTGCTGAGCCTTGAGCTTCTGTTTGTGTTTTATTGGTTTACAGCTGTGTGTCAATACCAGAAGAAACACAGCAAGTAAATCACCCTAAACAGGATATTTGTCTCCATGTTGTTTTTATTGAGAAGACAACGTCATACCTTGTCACTCTAAACCAGTTCATTTCCTGGAGAACACCAAACCTCTGCTTTTCAGCAGCTACTGTCATTTTCACACCTACAAGGAATTTACAGTGGCTCTCCCACTGTGAGTCAACAAAGACATATCTACATATCTAAACACAGCTTCATAATTCAAATAGTCTTCAGCCGCAGCAAGCAGTGGGGGAGGAGCAGGTTTGTATTCATTGAGGGAGAGAGGGGCCTACTTGAAGGCGCAGACTGGGAGAAAAACTGGTGTATTTTCAAGTATAATTATAATTCTACATACAGTATGATTATATCGTTTTACACTGCTTGGCCCCAAAAAAAGTCACCACCAAAAAAAACAGGTCACACACTAATATTTTGTTGGATGCAACATGCAATAATTATCCAATAGGAGGCTGATACCCATTTGCATAGTTAAATCCAGGTGGCGACTTTTTTTTGGCCAGACTGTAGGGATGGCACCATCTAGTGGGCCTTCCCCCTGTTTGTTCTCCCTTGTGTCTGTATTGATTGTCTGATTATCGTCACCTGTGTCATGTCCTGGTTGTGTGTATTTAAAGTCTGTCTGTCAGTTCTGTCGTGGTCGGTTCGTCGTTGGGTATTGCCTGTCCTGTCCTGCCTGTGTGATCCTGTTCTTGAGTCCATGTTGTAAGTTTTGCTGCCATGTCAGCCTTTTGATTTATTATTCTTCTTATTATTAAAAGTATTTTATTTTAGACATCTGCCTCTTGAGTCCTGCCTGCGCAACTGGGTTCTCCTGTCCTGATCTGCCTTGAAATCCCTGACAGTACGAACCGACCAAAACCTGAACCCAACAGGCAGACTCAGACTCTGCTCACCTGTTTTTGCCCGAGTTTGTCCAGATGGAGGAAACTGCGATCCGGTGCGGTGCCTTTTGGACTAGACCCGTCCTGGGACCGAGAAGCTGCACCCAGGCGGTCGAGGTTCTGCCTTCGCCTCTCTTACTGCAGGAGGAGAGACGAAGATCTCAGCTCCAAAAGAACCACACAGCACCCATGTCCCTCCTACTCACCAGTCTGCTCTGGGTGGACGTCTGGGGAGGATGCCGAGTCAGAGGACGAACTCTGGTTCGCCCCGGTACACCACCCACATCGCCGCCAAAAGGGAAAGAGAAGACGCAATCGGAACTGGTCCGCTGCTCTTCCGCCCACACCACCTGCATTTCCGGCTCCTCGCACTAAGTCCGGCGAGGCTGAGTTTTTTGGTTCCGCCTCCTCCTGGTCCCAGCCTCCAGCCTGCTCTCCTCAGCCAGAACCTGTGAAACCGGGGAGAATTTCGCGGGGGGGGGGGGGGGCAGTCATCCCCCCGTTCGTCTGTGGAGTGGACGAAGGGGGGCCAGCCCGGGGAGCGTGTTGGGCAATCGCTTTCTGCTCCTATTGAGGATGACCAAATCCCTGAGCTGCCTTCTGTAGAGGACCAGGTGGCTCATCCTCTCATCAAGGGCTCTATAGTGATTCTCAGAATAATTCCAAAAGTCAGAGTTAAAGATAGAAGACTCCTGGTGGACCAACTCTTAGATATATACCTCTCACAGCCTGACCTGCTCAGCACATCGGTTCATCAGGTGATCTTCCAATTTGCCATGAAACTAAGAGCTGAACTCGATCCCAGTTTTGTCGCGTCACACACTGCAGAACCTGCAGCCAGCCCAGAGCCTGCAGCCAGCCCAGAGCCTGCAGCCAACCCAGAGCCTGCAGCCAGCCCAGAGCCTGCAGCCAGCCCAGAGCCTGCAGCCAGTCCTGAGCCCATAGACCCAAACACATCTTCTGCTGATCCTGTTGCTGCATGCAGCCCCCGTGGTGGATCCCTTTCGGCTCCTGTCTGCTCAGCCGTGGGAGTCCAGGTGGACTCTGCTCCAGTCTGCTCAGCCGTGGGAGTCCAGGTGGACTCTGCTTCAGTCTGCTCAGCCGTGGGAGCCCAAACGGACTCCGCTCTTGCTCCAGATCCTGTGTCCGCCGAAGGGTCTTCACCTCACTCTGTTGGTCCAGCTAAAGAGGATCCTGGCCAGCCTGCGACCCTCAGCTCACGTCGCCCGTCTCGAGGGGGTCCTGGAGGACGCCCCTCACGCTGCCTGTCTCGAGGGGGTCCTGGAGGACACCCTCACGTCTCCTGTCTCGAGGGGGTCCTGGAGGACGCCCCTCACGTCGCCTGTCTCGAGGGGGTCCTGGAGGACGCCCCTCACGCCGTCCACCTGAACAGTGGTCCTGTACTGGACGGCCTCCACGCCACCCACCTGAAAAGTGGTCCTGTACTGGACGGCCTCCACGCCGCCCACCTGAAAAGTGATCCTGTACTGGATGGCCTCTACGCCGCCCACCTGAAAAGTGGTCCTGTACTGGACGGCCTCCGCGCCGCCCACCTGAAAAGTGGTCCTGTACTGGACGGCCTCCACGCCGCCCACCTGAACGATGGCCCTGTACTGGACGGCCTCCACGCCGCCCACCTGAACGATGGTCCTATACTGGACGGCCTCCCGGTCGCCCACCTGACCTGCTCTGAGCCAGTGGCTGGTCTCCCGGCCATCTGGACATTTTGTGTTTCCCTACTTGGTTTAGTCCCCAGGCCTTGTCCTGTTGGTTTTTGTTTTGGTCCTTGTGTGTCTTTGTTCGGGCCCACCACCCTTGCAGTTCCTCCCTCCGCCCACCCTAGTTTTCTGGGAGGGGGTTTCTTGGGGACGCCAGGGGGCGTCCTTGAGGGGGGGTACTGTAGGGATGGCACCATCTAGTGGGCCTTCCCCCTGTCTGTTCTCCCTTGTATGATTGTCTGATTATCGTCACCTGTGTCATGTCCTGGTTGTGTGTATTTAAAGTCTGTCTATCAGTTCTGTCGTGGTCGGTTCGTCGTTGGGTATTGCCTGTCCTATCCTGCCTGTGTGATCCTGTTCTTGAGTCCATGTTGTAAGTTTTGCTGCCATGTCAGCCTTTTGATTTATTATTCTTATTATTATTAAAAGTATTTTATTTTATACATCCGCCTCTTGAGTCCTGCCTACGCAACTGGGTTCTCCTGTCCTGATCTGCCTTGAAATCCCTGACACAGACATTGTATATCGATAGTCTCATTTCATATCGTGTTTAAAATTATCTCCATATTTTTAATATATCGAGATATCGCCCAGCCCTATCTCGAAGGTAAACGGACACTTTGCAGTCAGAGGGATTTTGTGAAAAATCGTCATAAAAATGGTTAAATGTTGTCAGTGGAGAACATGTACAGTAGTACCTCGTTTATCGTGGGGGATATGTCCCCTGAAGCCCTGAAATAAGTGAAAAACCACGAAGTAGGAATATTAGTATAAGTAGTAAGTAGTAGTTATTTATACATAAATATATATAAA